TAGAAATATTAACTGTTTTTGAGCTGGTTTGTTGTATGTCAAATGGTTATTTTGTATGATACACACCATAAAAACTGGTCAAGCTGAAGTATAATATTCTAATTTTGAATGGTTACAAGTTACAAGAACTCACATGATGTGGTGACAAGTGCAAATATATTTAACCTATAATGTGGTCTTCCTTAAATGGAGGTTGTTCAGATATGGTTTAAGTAGTCTTAGCTCCAAATATTCTTTACTGCTCGATTGTTTGCATCAGCTGTCAGCATTCAATTAACCAAAGCCAACAGCTTTGTAAGGAGATTCCAAAAACTCTTTAATGTAAAAAAGAAAAGAAAAAAGAAACCCCAAACTCTATTCTTGCTGAAATTGTTGATTCCTTTACAAGGATGTGGGCAGTGCAATGACTCAGTGGTTAAGATGCTGGGCTTGTCAGCTGGGAAGCTGACAACTCGGGTTCCCGAGTGTCGCACAACAGGGTGACAACCCCTCTTCAACTAGTTCCTGCCCACCTAGCAGTTCAAAAGCATGCAAATGTGAGTAGATAAATAATGGGGAGGAAACAACACTCTGTGACATCATGCTGGCCACATGACTGCAGAAATGTCTTCAGACAGCGCTGGCTCAATGGCCTTGAAATAGAGATGACAGCCGCCCCTTATAGTTGGCAACAACTAGAGGAGCAAAATCCACATGGTTTCCTTTCCTTTCCTTTCCTTAAATGAGGATGTGAAATGTGCTATTAACCATAGTTTACATATCTATGTACAATTTCTTTAATGTTACTCTCTTTTGTTCAAGGTAACCCTAACTTCATGTCCTATATTAGATAAAACAGCTATTTGAAAAATTGCCAAAGTGAAGTACGTTATGGGAGACAGTTCAATCCAGTTTAGATTTGGAAACATAATAAACAAAAAACCTGTATTAAAGAAGTGAAGAGTTGGGACTTTGGCTTTCCAGACTGATCAGGTGCAAAAGTCATCCAATTATACATTTTCACAACACTCATGATTTTCAGATCTGAAGCTGAAGCTATAAATCAGCACAAGAAAGCATGGAACACATTATGGGCCAGCTACAGATTTTAGGGTTGTTTGACATGAATGTGCTACATGGTGCCACTGCTGTTGCCTGGTTTTGACCTTTTAGCTTAAACCATACATAGGAATATGCTGAGTTTGTTGCTACCTTTTCTACACAATCTCTTAAAAACAGCAAGAGAAGAAAGTTATGGAACTTAGCAGCAAATATCTTGATGGAATTGAATCTTTGGAGATATGCATGATAAAAAGCTGATTCTCAATGCATTAACATCGTGAGTTGAGACAACTCTTCTAAATATGTATTCTTTTTGCCTTTTCCAGAGTGTTCACTGATAAGAGTATTAATTCAAGCCAAGAGTTTTACCTAACACATTTGCTTTCCAGCCCTCCTTGAATGTTATTTCAACTTTCAAACACAAATTTCAGAAAATACAATTTCCCCTTTTGGAAATACACATACAATGTAGGTATTAATTTTGCGGGCACATAGCATGTGGCAACGTGACAAAGGACTCCTTATGAGCTTGCGACACACCGTTCAAAGTCACTCCTAGCCATTATCAACAAACTGCAAATCTGTTCAACTGGGTCCTGCTGTGTTAAGTTTCACACAAAATCATATTTTATTCTAGCCATAACAGAATCTCCAACAACAGTTCTTAACATCATAGAAGCAAGGACCCACAGAGTACAAATGATAGGAATTGGATTTCCTTCAATGCCACTTGCTTTAATTGGAGTTATCCGTGCAAATTTCCTGTACAGACTTGGAAAAATAATCCCAAAGGATCAATAATTGAAACTATACTTCTGCTAAGTCAATCTTTAATTATGTGAATCCTTATAACGAATACATTATAATAACACAGCATGAAGGGGCAACTACAGTTAAGAGTCTCTCAGTATTTTCCATTTTAGTTCCTAGGTTGGGTGTTTAATATATTACTCGTTTCAAATCACACTGGTTGAAATTTGGCATACAAATTGGTTAGCACAGATGTGAATATTTTTTTAAAATAAAATTTTCTTTAAATCGGTTCAGCTGTTTATAATTTGAAAG